GGATGGGAAATAATCCATGCATGCACATATGGTGCAAAAGTGAAATGTGGGGAGCACTAGAAGAATACAGAGAAAAGTAGTCACTGACATGTAATGTTTAGGTTGCAAACATAAAAAAGAAAAATAGCAACGAAAGCCACATTAAAAGAACATTTCAAAATGGAGTCCAGAGACCATCAGGGACCAGAGCTTCTGAAGGAAGCCAGTGTCTGCCTGAAATATTGACTTCAGGCATCAGAACCAACTCAAACAAGTCTACAATTACACTGAGTCCATAAGCCCACAGCTCAAGAGGTTACAGGTCCTGGGCTTTCTGAATGATTCCTTTTTGCACATGCATTCTTTCCTTCCCTCCTTTCTGAGCCCTGCTGTATTCCATCTTAGCCTTGTCCTTCTTGGGATGCAAGCAGCCACTTTTTCTACCCCTCTCAGCACTAACTCCGAGCAATATGGATTATAATTACTAAAAACCCTGATAAAGGCCTTTCACATTTGCAGTTTCTGAGGTTAAACTGATTAATAAGGTCCTTCAGTGACAGTAAATACAACTACCATATATATGTTAGAGGAACACACGCTTGCTCTGATTACATTTTTCTTTTTTTTGATGCTTGACCCTACAGCAACTTACCACAAGTGGTTTTTCACGTTAGAAATTCGCACGTAAGCTGGGTTCTAGGAGGCACCTCTTTCTGCCTAATTACACAGACATTTTGAATTGTTAAAGTGCTCTTCGTGAATGTATTATGGGTTGCACAAATTAATTTTTCAGTTACTTAATTATTTGGATTTAAGCAATAAATCAACGTCATTTTGGGAAAGAAGTACTTCTTATTCTCAAAAAAAGAGATGAGGAGTTACTGTAATTATGTCTAATTTTTCTAAGTTAAAAGTACAGCAGAAGGTTCCAATTTATACTCAAACACATCCATTACCTATTTTCTTCTTTGTGGAAAAAAAAAGATAAACATATTGAATTGCCTTGTTTTCTTAGAGCTATTTTTTCTCCCTTAAATTCCCCAAGGGAGTGCATCCTTCCTCCTGGAGGTACTACAATACCAAGTGGGTGTGTGGAGTGCATGGAGCGAATTTCTTTCCCCTCTCCCTGCTCCAAAAATCCACATAATACATTGTCTTTGAATACAGGGCACATCAGATATTAAAGTGCTAACAACAGATATTACACTTGCTTTCAGCCAAAAGGTAGTGAAGGGTATTTCTTAGCTATTCTTAAAATACTACTTAGAGTAGTATTTGAGCTTTCGGTGGTTAGCCCATTCTACTCAAATGGCTACTGTGTATGCCATGTGTACTCCTGGAATAATAATCCCACAGTCGAATACATTTATCTGACAACAGATGTTCTTCCTGATGACATACACTCAGGGGGTCTTTTGTGACGGTGACTCTGATGAAGAACAGTTGCTCAGATTGTCATTATAAATGATCAGATATCTCCGCCAACTCACCTTTTGAAAAATCGGTTTAATTTTCATAGGCCATTTCCTCTGAATTGTCAGGTTTTCTCACTTGGGATAATAAAGCACATGCTTTTGATGAGGGTAACTATTTAGTAAAAAATAATTTGAACATATACCATTAATTGTGTCTCTTTTGTGTCTAACCAAGTATAGACACAAGTATGAAAATGCTTTTTTATTTTAGCAGACATAATGTGAAGAATATTGAATATCGAAGTATTGAAACATACTTTATCAAAAAGAGCACCAGTTGCGCCAGGATTTGAAAGCATTGGAATCCTTCTACCACATTTTTAGTTTAAGAAAGAAATTGTGATTTTCTTTCATCTTTTATTTTTGAAATAATGGCTTCAGATGGTAGATGTTAAATCAATGTAAAAATGAAGAGTAAACCAAGCCGTTTAAATATAATCAAACAAATTCTACAGAAATAAAGCTTTCATTACTATGAATGTATTTCAAGAACATATTTATTATTATTGTTGTTGTTATTATTACTATCTTCAATAATGGAGAACAAACCCAATACTTCATCCATAGCATGCAAATGGTCTACCACTGAGCTAAGCTCCCAGCCTCAAGAACATCTGTAAAATTAACATGTCTAAGTTCAAAGGAATGACAAGTCCTTCTGAAGAGACATGGATGCACTGAAATTTTTAAATACTCAAAATGGTATTTTATTTTTGCCAATAAACATAGTAGGAGTGCTTTATTTTTAAATCCTAACCCTATCCCATTCTTCCTAACAGTACTCCATTTTCACTAACCAACATAAAATGGCTTAAAACAGAGAATTATTGATGCATAGGACACAAACATTTAATCAAATCAGTGGTAGCCTGTATTAGGAAGACTTATCAAGTCTTGGAGAAGGTTGTTTAATCCACGAAACATTTACGAAGTATGACAGGAACTGTGCTAGTATTTAGAGTGTAAACAAGTGAGGAACTACAGTTCTTTTTCCACAAGTTAGTAGCAAAGGTGGCAAGTTCTAATTGCTGCACTGCATAGCTACATGCTAAATTATATTATACCTAAATTATTCTGTAAGTACAAAATGAAAAATCACACAGAGCCATCTTTATTGAGTACTCCACAGGTGACAGTTTTCTAAAACTTAGTCCTGAAAGTATTCATTCGTTCATGTCCATTCATTTAGTAAGTATATTAAAGACCCACTATGTGCCAGACCTTATAGTAGGTGGTAGAAATAAAAAGGTAAATGAGGGAGGAGGGAAATCCCCATGCTTATGGAGTTTAGAATCTAATTTGTGATTATTCTACTTCCAAAGAATATTTTAGCACATGTTAAGACCAATTGACCAACTTTTCCACTTCTTCGTGTTACGGACCTTTGCCTTTCTGAATTACAGTATACTTACTACCTCACCCTATCTTAAGAAAATAAAGAAACAAAGTTACTTTGTTTCCTTTTTGTCCCCTCCCCATGCTGCAAGCTAAACATGTGAGTAACCTTCAGGATTTCAAGCAGTTAAGACCAATGGGTAGTGTCTGCACTACACCAAGTGCACTACACCAAGTAACATTTGAGGGTTGGTAAGAGAAATTCAATGGGAATTGGGTCAGGAGAGGAAGATAAGGTGAATGGGACAAATCTGAAGGGCATCCCACAGCAAATGAGAAGGGACTTTGTCTACTCCTTACATCAGCTACTAACAATGTTTATGATGCACTGTGTGAAGCTACTGAAGCTTTTACAACAGCTATGTCAAGAGGGCTTGCAAAATGCTATGCTAAATGGGGAAAATTCTTCTTCTTGGATAGTAATCTAAAGAGATATTCTAGGACTAACAGACACCAAATTAAGTAGGGCAATGACTACATTTGTAATTTGAACCCTCACAGCAGTGTTCAATCCAGGGGAAGGAATATACCTCCCATTGTATTTTGTGCTTTCTGTGTCTCACTGTACCACCTAACCAGACTGAAAAGCAACCATAGTTTTATGTGTGCAAGAGTTGTTACTGTATGAATTGGTAACACTGCCTTCCATGCCAATTAAAACAATAATGGCAAATATGGCTGTCAGGAAAAGTACTGGTCCATGTAGAAATGACAACTGTGGTGACATCAGTGCCTGGGAGAGCCCCAGGCATGACCACGAGACTCACATAGTGAAGGATTCCTTTTTCCTTCATAGCTTACTCTTCTTTGTCTGCTCCTGAAAGAACAGAAGATGCCTCTACAGGGCCATTATTCATGGTAGTGGGTGGAAAAGGGTGAATTCACTCAATAGAACACTTGTCAGTTCAGCTGTCACTGTCTTTCCCATCATCTACCAAAAAAGTTAAAATCAAAAATAAATAGGAGGAAGGAAGGAAGGAATTTCATTTGCTTTGTTTTTCCTGCCCTGAACAAGAAATTTCTGGATTTATTCATCTAATTCCACTCTAGACTGAGTAGTGTCCACTTGCTGAGAGAAACACACGTCCATGCAACACGGTAGAAATTCAAGTAACCTTTACTTAGTGGGAAGATGAATTAACACATGTGAAGAAGGCAATACGTCTTTCTGAAATATGTGTATTGTGAACCCCAAAGTTAAACTGCCTAACTCATTCCAACTGTAAGGCAAAATGGGTCCTAGGATCCAGGTTTCCAATACCCTGCCTGGCAATTGCCAGTACATCATCCAGTAATGTCTCTATTAAATCTAAGCCCAAAAGAAGTCCAGGTGAGCCAAAATATAAATAAACTGACACCAGCACTCCTGCCTTCAGGGGATTCAAGATATGAGGAAGAACTCAAGGCTGAATTAGCACTGTCAGTTTGATAAGAATATGAGGAAACAGGAACATATCCAATTATAAGAAATAAAAAGAGACAGGACCACATCCTTCCACAAGTGAGTAAGAAAATGGGGAATCTGTTACGGAGTTATGGAATTTGTTAAATATAATTCACTGAACTCCCAGTGTGTGCTCTCTGTTCAAAGCATAAACAGATAAACACTGTCCATCCCTGCCGCAAGTTCAGACTAGGTGGGATAGCTAATAATGCCCAACCTTAATAAGTCAGCCCTTACCTCCTCTGAGTTCCTTTAGCAATAGCTGACCTAAGTCTAGAAGCAGAAATAGGAGACAGTAGGACAAAATCGGAGAAGATCATTCCATTCCATGCTGAGCTGGCAGCATGAGCACAGGTCTGAATGCACAAGAAGACATACATAGCATGTTTTTCATGCAGTCACAATGCAGTGGGGTCACAGACAAAGCTAAAGAGGTTGTCAGTGGCCCAGGTGATTACTTCAACCTTCTGGAAACTGTGTAAGGAGGTGCTAAGTACCTGGTGAGAGAACTCCATAGACTCAAGCTACTTGATGAGAAAGGCTAGGCCATTTTTACACATCTAGTACTCAGCATTCAATAAATATTTGCTGAACTAAGTTAGAATATTTAAGATCTAAAATGAGGAGAAGGAGGATAGTACATCCAGGGCTTTGTCTAGATTGGGTCAACTTCATCAATAAAGCTGCTATTTGACATCATCACTTACATATTCTCCATAGGTCTCTTGTGTTGGAGGTGGTGGTGGAGCTCTGTACCCAGTTGGGGGAATTCCTCTTGCCCTGGGAGTAAGAAGTCCTCTTCCTCGGCTCACTGGTCCTCGGGTAGAAAGCACTCCCCTGGGAGCTGGCGTCCCTCTTGGTACACCAACTCCAACAGGCCGGGCTGTAACTCCTCCTCTTCCCCTGTAAGCACGAAGGTCAGACTCACAGTATTTGTCATAGTTTCTAACACTCCAATCTTTACATACATTTAGATCTCAGACAAATCAGTGTTCAACAAGGAAACCACACAAGGTAAGAAACCACAGCAAGAGGCTGTGGAATCTCCAAAGACGAAATTAAGTTATCTAGGCAGCCAGTGCAGTGCACCATGGTCAAATCAACAGTGTCAAGACACTGTACTTGGCTTGTGGATCTCTGGCAAGGCCACATGTACTGAAGACTTCTGGGTGATGCCATGCCAGTCACATCCAAATGTGACTCTAGGTTTCTTATCTACAGACAAGGAACTGAGGCTCACAGAAAGTTTAAAACTGCCTGAAAACACACAGGTAGGAATGCTAGGGGAGAAAATACAAGCTACAGTAGAGCAACACAGAACAAGCCAACTGTGAATTACAAAAATGGTAGAGGACAGTCTCTAGTCCAGACCATGCCACCACAGCATCAGGCAAATGTGGGGTAGAAAGACCAACAGAGAAAAACACAAAACAAAAGATGTGTTGCTTGGAGTGGAGGCAATTCTACATCTGTGTTGCTTCCCTAATTCTCTCTTGCTGGGGTCTCCTGGACCATGGAAGGGATCAGGAAGACTGCAGGTAGGGAATGTTCTCAGCTCCCATTTTAAACTATAAGCTTAGCTCTCTCATTTGGAAGTAAAACAAAAAGGTATTAAAACTGCTTTACTTCTTGCTGTAGGTTTTAACATCAGATTGTTTACAACAGGTGTCAGGGAGGTATCTTGAAGTGGTAACAGTGGGTCATGTACATGAAGATTGCAGTAATAACTTGTTCCACTGTGAGCCACGTGCCCATTCCCACAAAGCAAATACCCTGGAAAATTCAGCCAAGGAACAAAATGAGAACTACATTAACAAAATTCAGTTTGATAAATGATACTAAATAATCAAGATAGGGTGTTAGGAACCAGCTTCTGGATTAGAGGGGATGGCTACTTTCAATGATGTGATCAGCAGTCTGTGTAAGTTGGGAATTCAGTGCTGTGAGACCAGGATCCAGAGACCCGAGGCCAAGCATGCTAGGGAGAAGGAAAACCAAATGCAAAGGGCCTGGGAAAGGAGTGTGACCCCCTTGAGGAGGAGAACGGAGACCAGCATGGCTGGAGTTAAGTAAGGTGGAAAAAAGGAACGAGATACATTCACAAGTGGAAGACAGTGTCAGATCACAAAAGTGTTCATCGGCAAATTTGGGTTTTCTTATAGCCGCAACAGAAGCTCTTTTTTAAGTAACATGAAGATACTATCAAATTTAATTTTAAATGATCACCATGACTATGAATGAAAACTGGAACAGTAAATCATGGTAGGAAGGAAGGAGAAAGAGAATAAGAGAAATAGATTTGAGGAGTTTTAAAATCAAAATGACCCATTCAGCAAGTGGATAGGGTGAAGAAGAATGACACTGAAAATATTATTATATATACCGCACCATATGAAGACAGTTTGTGTCATCTTTATCATGTCTCAGGACTAGAAAGTGCTAGGTGTCAATAAATATGCTCCTTTCTGTTTTGTATTGTTACGGACTTCAAACAGACCCTGAATTCTATACCCAGGTTTTCCTCAGCTTTCCCTACTAGCAAATTCAAAACCGAATCTGGAAATCAACTCCACCAACTGTACAGAATGTTACACACATGTACTAACTTTACCCTGAGGGTCTGTGAGATTTTCTACCCTAATTTCAACATTATTATCTTATTCTGTTAGATGGACCATTAGTCTCCCAAATACCTGTGATTTCATGAGAAAAACTAGTAAGTAAATACTTCATCATAACTTATATTCAAAGTGCTATCGTGTACCTTAATAAAAATATAATAAAAGTGCTAAAATGAAAATTCTATTGGAAAGCTGTAGTAGGGAATAAAAAGAAGAAATTCTTCTACATGAAAAACATAAGAGAAGAATAAAACAGGGAGGAATAGTTGGATCATGGAAGCAGACTGCCTGGATTCCAACCTGGCTGTATCAATCATGAGCTGCTGGCCTGGGGCAAGCAACTGACCTCTCTGACTTCACTTTCCTCATCTGCAATGGTGGAGGTAACAAAATAAGGTTAGCCTGAAGGATTGCTGGGAAAGCTAAACTAGTTAATATCTTTAAAGTGCTTAGAAAAAACTTCAATACTAAGTACTATGCATTTGTTAAAATAAGTTTGAGGCTATGACGTAAAGATTAGGTGGTCTTCAACAGGTGAGGGGAAGAAGGAAGACACAGAATTGAAGACAGAAGAAAAAATGTGGATGATGACATTGAAGGATACATGCACAAGCTTCATGAAGCAAAGCTTCTAGTCCAGGCCAGTTAAAGACATGTGAAAGACCACACGGAAGAGGTTTTGAGAAAAAAATTTCAGAACAGCTTCAAACGCCTCATCTTAGGAATATGAACTTTATATAACAGAAACAGGAAATGTGAAACATTTGAGACCAAGAAAGACTACAATCAACTGAAGGAAGAAAGTGAGGTGTGTGGACATGAGCTGACAGAAACACATGCCGACCTTAGCACACAAATACAGACTTTCACCTCTAGCACTGAACTAGTCATAGGTCTACCACAAACTAAAAACCAAGGTTTGAATGTGAACTTAAAAATAATCTTGTCAGATAATATATATAATATCAAGAAAATGAAATAGCTTTAAACGACAAGCAACACATATGCTATGATCAATAGGAATGATTTTTCATATGGACAGATGAAAGTGTTTCTCCAAGTATATTACATTCCAAAATAAATGAGGCTCTGTCTTCCTCAAGTCTTCATGGCATACTGAACTTCACACAAAAACTGACAAATTGGAAATTATCTTCAGTAGCAACGGCAGATATGGTTTCAGGAACACAGCGTCCTCTTCGCAACTGCACTGCGTGTGCTCTATCTGAACGTGACACTCTTTATCCAGGGGACACTCACCTGTGTTTGTAGTCTGCAAAAAGGTCTAGGCAAGGGTTACTTAATCTTAAGTGAAAGAAGTAACACGGGATTAATTTTATCATATGTGTATGTAGATACAGATAAAAATATAATAAACACTGGGGACATGTACTTTTTCTGCACTAAACTTCCTTGCATAAGGTTATATATATCACTAGAAGAAAGTTTATATACAGACATATAAACAGTGAGATCTACTTCTACTTCTATCCACAGTCAGGATTTGCTTAATCACGGACACCTTCTGAGCAACTCGGGAGATTTGTTGTGCATACAGCACAAAGAGAAGCTGCACAGACCCAGATGGCACAGCCTACTCTGCACTCAGAATGGACATAAATGTGCATGCTCCCCTTTTATAGGACTAGCAGAACCATAATTCTGTTTATGTCAGCACCACCACAGACACTACAGTAAGGTGTTGCACTAAACTGTTACCATGGCTATCACATCCCTAAGATATGGGAACTTTTTAGTTGCATTATAATCTAATGAGACTACCACTGTATGAATGGTTCATCATTGAAATGTTATATAGCACAGGACTATACCTATTCATCTATCCACCTATCTCCATCATCTACCTATCTATCTACCTATCTAATTAACTAACTAACTAACTAAAAAAGAATGGTGGCATATAAAAGTCAAATATAAGAGGATGTTTTCTCTTTTAATCTGTATATAGGATTGGGGATGTAGTTCACTGGTAAAGCACTAGCCTAGCATGTGCAAGGCCCTGGGTTTGATCCTAACACAAGAAAACAAAAACCAAACTCCCAAAATCTTATTGTTTGATGTCTGTATTTTCTGCATTATTTTGGGTAAGAGCTAAAGACAGAAGTATCTATTATTTCAAAGGGGTCCAGATATAATTCCTTGGTTGCGAGGTCTGTATCTGCTAGGTTTGTTCAGTAAAAGCACATAGCTTATGAACACACACTGCATGCTTTATACACGTGTAAACAAAGCTTGGAAATGTAGGGACAGGGACGGGACAGATTTAGAAACTTCTGAAAAGGTTTCTTAAGCATCTTATTTTGCATGTGGAGTATGTTTGGGAAATGTGCAAGCTTCCATCATAACAAAGAAAAACTGACATAGCAAATGTATCATGACATCTACCATTCTGCGGCCCTAATCTTGGGAACCTGCACAGGTTAAGTTATTTAGAAAAATGGATCTTGGAGCTTTGATTTAGGATCTCGAGATACAGCAAGTGAACACCCTGGATTACCCAGGTAGGTCCCCCTACACAATCACATGTATCCTTTAACGGAGGCAGAGTGGGATTAGAGAGATTCAGAAGAGGAGAATGCAATGTGAAGACTGAGGGTGGTGTGGTCACAAACCACCTAACACTGGCAGTTACTAGGGGACCTAAAAGGGAAAAGGAAAGGCATTCCTTCAGTGCCTCCAGAGGTGTAATGGCTCTGCCACCGATACTGATTTTGGACTTCTGGCCTCCACTGCAAGAGAATAAATTTCTATTTCTTCCAGATATCAAACTCATGGTAATTTTTCACAGCAGCTACAGAAAACTAATAGAGCAGATAAGTAATTTCTTAGGATTTCAAGTAAATTTGATGGTGGAAGAAATGGAAATCAAACAGATTGCAATTTACTGAGAATCTATATGTACCATCTCATGAAATCCATACCAAATCTGTTATTCTTAGCTCTTTGTTTTATAGAGAAACCTCACTGCACCATTCCCAGACTGGTGCAGTGAGTGTTTCCAGCACAGGTAACTGCTGCAACCCTGGTGACCTACGCCATACAGAAGATGTAACTCTTCATCCCTCCCAAAAATTCTACATGAAATTACTTAAAAAAGAGCTACATAATCACCAGTTTAACAACAACAAAAAAAAATTTGTGTTACTAGCTGGGCATGAAGATGAACTGTCTTACCCTTATCCATTACAGAGATTAAAAATTACAAATAATTCCCTCAAATAAATTTGAGACAGTCATATTGGATTTTTTTATTTCCTTAAAATACTTTTTTCCTATCAAAAGTAATCATTAATTGAAAGACAGAAATAAAAACTTTGTGTGGCTGAACCAGCTCAGTAATTTGTGGATACCATGGGGCATTTAAAATGAATAAAATGACACATGCCTTCGAATTGAATCCACTTGGTACCCAATGATGCACTTGATGTTGCTGGTGTGGTGGTGAGATCACCTGATGCAGACATCTGCATCCAAGGGGAAATGCAGGGACCATCCTCTCAATGCTGGTCAATGCTAGTCAATGTCAGGTCCCTGGCATTCTTAGGGTGGACAGAAGGTCCCGAAGCTAACAGTGAAACCAGACCTCCTGATTGATGACTGCTTGCCAAACTCCCCTGCTTGTTTCCCTGCTCTGTTTGCAAAGTCTCAGGAACTTCCAGTTAGTCAACTAGCCAGGCATGTCAACCTGTTCCATCTGGTGATCACAGATAATCGGAGACCAAAGACTCTCTCCCTCCCCCATGGCTTGGCCCCACCTATAAAGCCCACTACCCATTTCAGCCAAGCCGCTGCACTCTGAACCTAAGAGTGACAGCCCTGCAGTCTGGCTCCTAATAAATCTTTCTTTTCCACACATGGTGTGGTCTTTATGTGGCAGTTCCTTACATCCGGTGCCGAAGCCCAGCAGAAGTTAACAGGATGCTCCGGCCCGGGGCTGCTCCCTTGGCCTTCGTGTCCTGCCCTCTCCCAGACCCAGACTGCTGAATTGACCCCCACATACCTCCGGACTGTGGAATTTGGACCCTACTGCCTTGCTAACTTTCCCATCCATCATGAGACTCTCTCTTCCACTGCTCTCTATCTGACCTACTCCTCAGACTCGGTAAGTGTCACCCTGCTCGGGGCTGCCTGCTCTGTCTGGTCTGCTAGCTGTGGCGCTACTCCAGGTACACCTTCTATGCCCACTGAGGTGCCCCTCCACTTAGCACAGGGATGCCTGGGCTAACCAGTTGGGTATCCTCTATGAACGGTGACCCAGGCTAGAGATGCCCACCCTTGGGAACCTGTTCAGGTGATACTTACCCCTCTCTCTCACTCCCTCACTCTTTCTCTTGCTTTCCCTCTCTGTTCTCCTTCCTCCGCCTAGGGTGAGAGTTCAACAGCCCCTCCAGCTTACTTTGACCAAATGGAAACTGGACGATTCTGCTCTCCTTGCTTGAGTCATGTCAGGGAGGCCAGACCTTGACCTAGATCTATACTGGCCTGAAGAGTAAATGCACCAAGGCACCTGCCTCTCTCTCTCTCTCTCTCTTTTCTTCTACATTATGGGGACCACACACTCCACATGAGACACGTCCACTGGGATGTCTTCTCCATATCCTCTCCTTGGTCTCCAAGACGATATGAAACCTAAGTGACTGATTTTCAAACACTTCTAGATCTTGATAATTTCTGCCATCGCAATGGCAAGTGATCCAAAACTCCACTCATCCAAGCTTTTCTTTCTCTCTGCTCTTGACCCTCCCTGCTCTAATCTTGTAATGCCGTTCAAATCCTCCTTGCCAGCGACAAACCCCCCTCAAAGTCTGTGTCTCTCCCTCCCACTGAACCCTCTCCTGAATACTCTTCCCTTACTTGTGACCTCACGAGCTCTGTCTGCCCACCTCCCAACTCCTCCCACCAGTCCTCTGCATCAATCTCTTCTCCCACCTTATCCTCTCATGACTCAGACTCCCTTATTCCACCCCTGATGGCTCTCTCAAACATCTGCCACCCTATTCCCCTTCTACAGTGGTCACAATTGACCCTGAGCTATCGGCTCCAAAGGGACCAACACCGCCAGCCTGGCCCTCAGCCCCTGCTACATCCTCACCCTTCTCCTCCCCACCTGTGTCCCACGCCCACTCCCATACCTCCTCGCAGGCATGTCCAGCCCATCTCTACCCATTCCGGGAGGTGGCAGGAGCTGACGGCATTAACAGAGTTCATGTGCCCTTTTCCATGACTGACCTCTCTCAAATTGAAAAGAGACTTGGCTCCTTCTCTAATGACTCAGCCTCCTATATTACAGAATTTAAATACCTAACCCAAGCATATGATATGACTTGGCATGAGACCCATCTTCCAAGGATGGAATAATTATTCTCAACTCTCATTTTATTTCCCAATCCTTCCTTGATATTCAAAGAAAACTTAAACAGGCAGAGGATGGCCCTCAAATCCCCCATGGAGAGCTTGTGAAAATGGCATTTAAGGTATTTAATAACTGAAATGAGGCTTGAGACCAGTGAAAGACCCAGCTCTTGGCAGCTGCCCAGAGGCTACCTCTTCCAACTTCAAGACTGGCTGGACAACAACGCACACCTCCAAGGGCCTGCTTCAAGTGCAACCAGGCAAGACACTGGGCAAAAACTGCCCTTCACCTCACCCGATGCCAGGACCCTGTCCACGATGTGGCCAGAGTAGACACTGGAGGATGACTGCCCTCTTTGTCTCTGCAAGGTAGGTCACTCTCAACAGAGCGAAGGCCTCATGGACCTCTTGGGCCTGGCGGCAGAAGACTGATGTGGCCCTGGGACCTCGGCCCCCTTCAAGATCACCTCGGAGGTGCCCAGGGTAACCAAGTAGCAGGTAGGCCTCAATCACCTACTTGTGCTACCTGACTTCTCAGGTAAGCTTTATCCTTCACAGATCTCCGTGGTGGGGGTAGATGGTCTCCTCCACCAGCCAAAAAAAAGACAGTTTGATTTAAATTTAAAATTCTTATAAAAGTTAATTTTAAAATACAAGTTACAAAGTAAACAACTGGAAAGGATATAGATAGGTAAACTTCAATGTGTGATAAAATTAAAGTTGACTATAATCTAAAGTTGCCTAAAAGATTTTTAAGGTCATGTCAAACTAAAATCAAATTCTCTATAAAATAACAAGGTTATCTTAATATTGTTCTGCTCTAAGTAACATCTACAAAAACCTATTACAGGGAAGCATTTTATCAAAGAAATTATTTGTGTTTTCTGCTGATCTTGTCAAGCTTTAAGTACTATTAAATCAGAGTTCATTTACATATTTGCTCATGTGTTTTACAAGACCACCTTGTAACAGCATTGTGTCTATACTTGATCTAAATATGGTACAAACATTTACAAAGTTAAAAATGTAGATTTATATAAAATAATGAGCTAAAGCTCTCTTTTATCCAAAAGTGTTACATTTAACCTGCATTCTGTCAGTCAGACCCTGTTTGCCTTTAAAGATTCCACAAACCCTTCACAGCAACTAACCTGGACAGTTTTGCCACAAGAGTTTAAAGACAGCCCTCATCTTTTTGAGCAAACCCTAACCAGAGACTTATTGGACTGGCACTACCCAGAGGCCACCCTTCTTCAATATGTTGATGACTTCCATGCAGAGCCATAGAGCCCCTCATCTGCAGGGTGACTGAGTCCTTTTTAAAACTTTCTGGCCTCTGGGATACAAAGTCTCCAAGGAGAAGGCTCAATTATGTCTCCCATAGGTCACCTACCTAGGTGAGGTCTTAAAGGGACAGACTCAGTAAATCAACCCAGTCCTCCATTTCCCACTCCCCCATACCATAAAGCAGCTTAAAGCTTTCTTGGGGGTTACAGGATTTTGTAGAATCTGGATCCCTAGATATGCAGCCTTTAGCAGACACCTTTTTATGCTCCTCCTAATATTCCTATTTGGGTCTTAAATAATGTATGGCCACCCATTTCTCTTAGGAAACTTGCCTCCAACAGACCCTGCTCCTCTGGCTGACTATCTACGTTATCTTAACCTCCTCCGGGAACTTCTCAGAGAGCCTGCGGACCAGATCCTGCCCCACCCTATAACAATTTCTGTTAAACCAGGGGATCTTGTTCTCCTAAAGGATCATCTACCCTCTCCATTGGGACTTCGATGGACCAGCCCTCATCTGGTCATCCTCACAATGCCCACTGCTGTCAAGCTCAATGGGATCCCCCAATGGCAGCACCTTTTAAGGATAAAACATTGCCCACCAACTTCAGGCTCTTCCACTACAGCAAAGGATGAGTACTCTTGCGTACTGCTGGGCCCCACGCAGTTACGCCTCTCCCGCTCTCTCTCTCCCTTTTCCTCTCCTACATAAGTTCTCAGTCCTCATCTGGCTCTCAATTTTCTGCCATAGGTGAATTTAACAACAATTGGCCTTGTCTGCAAATGAAGCCTGGGAAAAACCGTCAGCCTCCACTCCTGGGGACCTCACAAATTTCCAAATTCCAGCTGAACTCCCCCCTTAACAACACCCCCACTCAGCACGAAGCAGCTAGATCAAATGGCGCCCATAATACCAACAAAAGGCTGGAATGTTAGGTGTCTGGCATTCTTGGGGTGGGCAGAAGGTCCCAAGGCTAACACCTAAATCAGACCCCCTGATTGATGACTGCTTGCCAAACTCCCCTGCTTGTTTCCCTGCTCTGTTTGCAAAATCTCAGGAATTTCCAGTTATTCAACTAGCCAGGCATGTTGACCTGCTCCATCTGGTGATCACAGATAATCAAAAACCAGGAACTCTCTCCCTCCCCCATGCCTTGGCCCCTCCTATAAAGCCCACTACCCATTTCAGCCAAGCCGCTGCACTCTGAACCCAAGAGTGACAGCCCTGCGGTCTGGTTCCTAATAAATATTTTCCACAAGTGGCGTGGTCTTTATTTGGCAGTTCCTTACAGTTACTTATATAAAAACAAGCCTCACTTTACAGAATTAATCTTGGAGTATATCACAATTTGACTGAGGTGTCAGTTAGTAAGTAGTAAGGGTTATCTTTAAACCTAGATTTGAATATCTCACTCCAAAGTAAATCCCCTTAAGGTGACATTGCAATGTCTGAATACAGGCTTTGTATAGGTACAATAATAGAACTGCTTCTGTCTATTGATGTGAGCAGTATTAAAACTGTTGCCATGCACACAAACCTAAGAAAAAGAGTGAGTCAATTCATTACACCTACCTGGTTACTGCTGGAGTTGCTACACCTCTTGTTCGCAAGGTGGGTTTCCCTCGAACCACGGAAACATCTGCATTTTCTGAACCACCATTCAAATATGTGAGTTCCTGGAGCTGTGCTTGCCGGATTTCATCATTGTAGTCCTACACAGAAGAGAAGGTACAATGGTTTGCCTCATATTAACAATAAAAAATTATTTAGAATTAAAGTAAACATTTCTTAAAGAAAAAAATGGTTAGGAAAACAGTTGAATTCTGAAAATAAAAAATGACCTTATTAAAACATGTTAATAAATTTTTATAAAAAGGGAAAAAAAAGAAAACCACAGCATTTTCCCCAAGCTATGATTTTTATTCCTTTCCATCAGCAAAGCTTCAGGGTAAAACATTTATAATAAAATTAAAAATAAGTATTAGGTGGGCATTAGTATTTATAACTCAACTAGTAGTTATTAAGCATCGATGATGTGTCAAGTAAGAGAAAATCAAAGAGGAGTCAATCTTAGCCACCAAGGAACTCAACTGAGGATAAATAGATACAATATGATGTCTTAACTGAAATTAACACCACATGCACTTTATATACATTTAGATATTGCATAAGCTGCAAAGTTCAACTTTTGAAATAATATATAACTTATTCCTGAAAAGTTCCACTTCTCCTTTCTCCTTACATGGTATTGTCAATATACTCAGCTCAATTTGGAACTGTCACAACAAATACCCTCTGTACAAATGAATATCTCTTAATAAAAATGGAAAAACATACTCAGCTCAGAAACTATGGGAGTCTTCCTTAATTCCTCTTCCATACCACCCTCAACTCCATTCAACAACCAACAGACACACAGTAATATATTAATATACAAATACAATTGTTATCTGTTCTAAAACAAAGATTCAGATCCAAACAATCAAAAAGGAAAGTTATCTAAGTAAGATGCCAGCAGTATGAGTAAATTCTCTCCATAAGGTACCCTATACAGATGAATGAGAACCTATGATCACAAGCAGGGAAGAGGGGTAACCAAGTGTTCTACATAGAAGGAAAATATTCTAAGACTCAAGTAACTTTAAATTCAGGAAATCAAAAAAAAAGCACTATGTGGTAGAACTCTAAAAAACCACTGGGGGAGGGATAGGGTCTTAAAGAGAGAGGGAAAGCACCAGCCAAACCATGTGATGCCTTAAGTCATTCTGAAAAAAATCTCAACCCAGGTACCATAGCTCACACTATAATCCCAGCTACTCTGGAGGCAGAGATCATCAGGATTGTGGTTCAAGGCCAGCCCAGGCAAAATATCAGTGAAATCCCACTTCAACCAATAATTCACGTGTGGTGATGATACATTCTTGAAATCCCAACTACTTGTTGGAATCATGGTCTCAGGCTGGCCCAAGCAAACAAAAGATCCTACCTGAAAAATAACTAAACCAGGGTAGATAAATAAATAAAAGCTGGAGATGTGGCTCAAGTGGTACAATGCCTGCCCAAGCACGTGTGAAACCCTAGCTCAAACCCCAGTATTCAGACAAAAAAAAAGAAAGATAACTTTGAATGTTTAGAATTATGGGTGCTGAGCATCCTTTAATGATGTTCAAGAGGCAAGTTGCATACTTAAGTTTTTCTTCTGGAAAGATCATTCTAGTAACAGTAAACACAGATACAGTCAGTAAGCCTGCCTTATTCATGGATTTATTACAAAAAAAAATCAAAAGAAATTTCAAAAACAAAATTTAAATACCCATGCATACATTACACTGCTTAGCTGATGTGGAGAAGCTCTGAGACAGCCCTGTGTTTTCATTAATTGCGTTTACACTGCTGTGTGATCTGCTCAGTGTTCCCCTGCACTTTATTTTGTAAAACTATGCCTCCCAAAAAGTGAGTTTAATTTAAGTGATAAAGTGAAAACTCTAGACTTGATGAAAGGCAGCATGTCTTCGGTGGAAGCTAAGCAGCATCATATGGAAAAACGAATCAAGCATCCACAGGACGGCACTGAATTCTGTGCATGCTGACCATTTTTTGTTGTTTTTCCTCAGTGGTGGTCTCCTTGGAACCAAGTATCTGTGGATACCAGGGGACTACTGAAACATAAGATTGCAAGTAGGTATACAACAAAATACCACAAAAACACAGTGAAATCAACAAAAGCAAGTGATTTTGCTTAGAAGATTAGCAAAATTAACAAACCTTTAGCTAGATTACCCAAGAATAAAAAACTCACATCATTAGCAAAATCAGGAATGAAAATGGGATTATCACATGGATTTCGAAAAAATAAGAAAAATTTACAGGGAATACCATAAAAACTGCATGCCAACAAATTTGTTAGTTTAGATAAAATGGGTAAATGACTCAAAAAGACAAAACTTACCAAAACTGAGTTAAGAATAAATACAGAATGCAAACAATAACTGCCATATAAGAAGTAAGTACTTGGTGTCTGCTCCTGGTTCCTAACACTTCTCTTATCCCTTGAAATTTCCACAATGATTAACAGAAGTGAGAGAAGCATCTTTTGTCATTCATAATAAGCTCCTTTCAAGGAGATCTGTATTTATGCTAATGAGGTAACTCTCACAGGACTGGGACAGGTTGTCAGAAAGACAAAGATGACCTAGGGATTGGAATTTTCACTCCTCTGGGAAAGAGAAGGAAGTTTGGAGATTGACTTAATCACCAATGGCCAATGAATTAACCAACAATGCTTACATAATAAAGCCTCCATAAAAACCCTAAACATATAATAGGAAGGAAAACTTCTTAACTCATTGCAAGAGGCCAGAACTACATCCCTCTTCCTTATCTCTCTCAAAACCAAAGACACCACAAGCTAAAAACAATTATATTATAAACAATTATAATCAGTAGAAATATACTAAAGCTGTCAAAAGAAAATATAAAGAAGCCCAATCCAGCAACAAAACTTATATGTAAGAGAGGCAAGGACACTGTATGCCAGGATTGCAAACTTGGTTTAATATCTGAAAATCAATTGATGTAATATAAATTAAAGGACAAAAATCACATGATCCTTGCAATGGTTTGAATATGAAATGTCCCTCACAGGCACATGTGTTGAACGCTTGATACCCTGCTGCTGATGCTAGTTTGACAAATTTTGAAAACTTCAAGGAGTACCTTAAGGTACTTTAGGCCCTCCTCCTTTGCCTACTGCTCACCATGAGGCCAGCAGCCCCTGCCATGTGCTCCTGGTGGCAGGATATTCTGCCTCATCATGGGCCAGAATCAACAGCCAAAGTCTATGAACTGAAATCTTTAAAACTATGAGCTAAAATAATTTTTTTTCCTTTTATGTTCAGGTATTGTGTCACAGAGATGAAAGGTCTGACTAACATAATCATTTCAATAAACAGATAAAAAACATTTCACAGAAGACTCCAACAGACTTTAATAATACTCAAAATTAAAAAACACTCAAATGGGAAAACTCATATTTAATAGTGAAAGACTGAAATTATCCTGCTAAATTCAGGAACAAGACAAAGATATTTACTCTCACCATTTCTATTCAACATTGTCCTTGAGGTTGTAACCAGAACAATTATGTAACAAAATGAAATAAATAGTTCCAGATTAAAAAGGAAAAACTAAAAGCAATCTCTGCTTAGAGGTGGTAAAAAACTGTAGACAGAGAATCATAGGAAAGCTTTAAAAAGACAAATAAGAATTATTAGACCTACTAATTCAGTTTTAGCAAGACTGCAGAATACAAAGGTGAATATGCAAAAATCAGCTGTATTTCTTTAGATCAACAATGATCAATCCAAACACGGAAATTAGGGAAAAAACTCTACTTACAGGAGTAGTAAAAAGAGTAACACATTTAGGAAAGCATTAACAAGATAAAAGACAGATGTACACACTGAAAACTGTAAAATACTGTTGAAAGACAGTTCAAAAGATTAAAACGAGTAACAAGATAGTCAATGTTCACGGACAGGAGGAAATAATATTGTTAAGATGACCATATTCTCCAAATTGATCAGCCAAACCAAGGAAATCCCATCTGCGTTCCTTAGGAAAATGGACCAAGAATAGCTAGACTAATATTTATAAAGAAGGACAAAGGAAGACGAATGGCATTATTCCCATTTCAAAACTTACAACAAAGGTAACCAAAACTGTGTGGTAATAGCGTAAAGGAGAGACATAAAGGTGAAAGAAATGGAGTTTAAACTTAGATGTAAAAGTGTCTTTTACAAATGGTGCCATAACTTGATAACTACATCAAAATTGCACAACCTGGGTCCCTTACTTACTTCATGTCATATGTATGCGAAAATTAAAATAAAAATGCATCAGCATATCTAAATATTAACAGCTAAAACTATAAACCTCTTAGATGAAAACACAGGAATATACTTTCACAAAGTAGACTACAAAGGTATGAAAAGAAACAGAAAAAGGTAAGGTAATTATATTATAAAACTCATTGGAAGCCAGTGCTGCATTCACATTACATCAAGCAGCCAAGTCCCGATTCCATAGGAATCATTACCTCTGTGAGGGACGCCCACTGATCTCAGAAAGAGTAATCTGGAGAAGAGTGGACCTGGAATCTGTTTCAGTAGGATAAAGCATGAATGAGAGGAAGTCACAGAAACAGTAAATGCAAGGAACATCTACTAGTTGTATGGCTATTAAAAAGAAGAAACAGAAAGGATCACAGTGTGCAGCGAAGAGGGGAGAATTTGAAACAGAAGAAAGAAAACTCAGCATGAACAGAGATTCAGTGTAAGTCACTGCAACTAGCAGAGAAAGGTGAGGACCAGGGTCTGCATTTTATGTGAAATACAGATCTCTTGCCTGACGTACTGAATCTCCGAGGAGTCATCTCTATCTTTCTGAAGTCATCGGAATCATTACTTCAACCTGTCGAAAAGAAGCCTACCAGTAATGCTACCATCCATTTCACTAAATATGTGTCAAGGCTAATAAATGATTTATAAAGCACATCCTAAGTGAAATGTGCTAAATAAACACTAAATATTTATACTGCTGAAAATTATCAGGAGGTATGACTCTCAGTTGTACATGGTTAAAATGATGTCCTGGCAAAAGAACAGGGCTGAGGCACTGTTCAAAAACACCATTAAAATTTTTAACAAATAAA